TCCCGTGAAGCGGAGAAGCGGTGTGCTCAGCCAAGCACCAAGCGTGTCCTAGGGAAAGGTAATTCCTCCCTGGCCTGCCTGGACCCGTCCCTATAAACACCAAGAGCTCCACGGGGAGAGCAGTGCTGCAGATTTCATGAAAAAAAAAAAGTCTCTGTGAGTTGGAGGTGCATGCTAGCCACACAGAAGCGTTTTTTGAGAGACAACACACAGCCGTGTGTGTCTACATCATAGAGTCCACGAGTCCCTGCTCTGCCTCAGAGGGCTTGGAGGATCAGCTACTCCCTCCCCAGCTGTGTACCACAGTGTAGTGCCAACCCCTGCACACCAGTGTGTGGTGTCCTCCCCTTGCACTGTGCCCAAACCTGGGTGAAGCCCTGTCTACCTGCACACACCGAGGAGAGCTGGTGTTACACCTAGCCCTCTGCCGCCTCCCCATATGCACCAGAAGACATCCTCCCCCTTCCTCTCCACATACTTTTAACTCTGTTCATTTCAAACACCTTATTAGCATGACAAGATAAACAAGTTTTGACGAAGGGGAAGGGAGGCAGAGCCCCTTGAGTCCTGGTCTGAGGCTGACACAGTGGGAAGCCTTTTCTTCCCGTGGGGTTTTGCCTTGCATTGGAGCAGCCATCCTGCCTGTCACGCACATTCTCTCCACACCTTCACCACGGTAAATCACCGATCCAGGAGGGCCCTTCAGTCCTGCTGCACAGCAGCACTCATGCTGGATTTAGCACCCAGCGGGGTGAAAAATTTACAGTGAGCTTTGGTGGGGCTAAGGTGAGGCTGCCAGGAGGACAAACTGTGCAGTGCTGGGGCAGCTCCTGCTGTAGGGAGCTGACCTCGAGGAATTGTGGTATCTGTGGTGTAGGTCCCAGCTGGGAATTGAATTTTTCTGGAAAAAATACCTATTTTATAAGGTCATAGCCCAATCCCTGGTCCCTTGCAGAGCTCTGCAACTGTGCAGAGTAAGAGTTGAAGGCACCTGTACAGGGCTCCATACAAAAGCTGGGATCGTGGCATGGAGCTGGCGGTGAGCAGAGAAATGAGTGGGATGCCACAAACAAATACTTGAGGTCAGAAAATCCCGATTTCAGCTGCCTGCCCCCAGGAGTGATGCAGCCGCACAAAGTGAGCGTAAAGAGCACAAATACACCTCTAACAGGCTCTGTGCTCTGTGCCTCACATCGAAATACTGCACCTCGGCTAGAGGGAAGAGCTCACTGTTGCTACACAATTTTGTGGCTAGTTAGAAATGGCCAGTAGGGGTCACTGATATATATTTATTTAATTCTATTTTTATATACACACATTTATAAATACACAGAAGACTTGCATAGGCAGCAATTGTAATGGGCAAGTGTTGATGTGCAGCGTATTCTTCAAGCACAGACGCTGGGAGAAGGTGCCCCTATGTGTGTCTGAAATACCAGTGAGAGCTGTACATCGTGCTCTGCTCAAACCCATGAGGGCAGGAAACCACCGAGCTGTGCCAAGCACCGGGGTGCTGCAATGGTGGACTTTTGTCATTGTTCCCCAGTTCTGCTTTTGCCTTCCATTTCATATTCACAGAGGTGCTTTGAGAGAGATTCAAAAGATTCAGAGCCTGGAGGGCAGGAAATTGTGTCTGCTTGTCTTTCTGTGCAGTGCCCAGCACAGCTACATCCCAGCCCCAGTGGGTGCCTTTGGGCAGCCCCATAAGACAAACAGCATTTTGGGTTGGGTTGGGTCAGCACTGTTTTGTTCTTCTGCCACTGATGCTGGGGAACGTGTTTGCTTGTGAAAAGACTCCAGTGGTTTTTTGAGGGCTGAATCTCTATTAAATTCAAAATTGGGTCCCAGCCCTCACTCTTACATGGTGGGATGGCCTGAACTATACACGTGGGTATGTTTTTAGCAACTGTTTTATTGGTGGGTTGGCTGCATTTGTCTGGTAGGTGTATGCTCCAGGCATACTGGCAGAAGGTGTTTGGCTGTCCAATTCGGCATCCACAGACTTGTTTGACTGTCACAGGCTGGCAGTATTTCACTGATCTTATTGTTCCTGAAATGCTGTTAGTTTTGGATGCTGAGCTCCTCTTGTATTGGCATATCTCAGAGTGAAAACACTGCTCAAACTAAGTCTCAGGTCTTTTGGTTTTGGTGGGCTCATCCATCCAAGAAACATCTTTTGCCTACGAGGGTTTCCCAGCTGATGTCTACTGGGGAATCCTCTGTGCAACTGGAGTTAGAGAAGTAGCTGAGGAGGCAAGTGTTTCATAGGAGTCCCTTCACCGCAACTCTCAGGCAGGTGACAGCCTCCAAGTCAGCCACCAAGGGGCTGTCCAGCACCTGCATTCTTCCTCACTTGACCAGGTTTGATGGAAAACTTGAGAGGACCAAGCCTGCACTGCCTTCTTCTGGTGGGGAGACATTATTTCTGGCATCTGCTTTTTCACTAGCCAAGACCACAGGCACTTCAGAGGGATTTGTCCTTCCACAGGGTGGCACCTGCCCCTCCAGGGGTTCCTTTTATTCAGTTACAAGGGTCTATATAAAGTGCTGCCAGCTGGAAAGTATTTTGAAGAGATTCCTCCCTGCTCTTCACTAAGGGTCATAAATTCAGCTGGTATTTGAGAGAATCTCAAATGTACTTCCAGGACTGTTTGCTGAGGGCTTTACATCCGCCAGAGGCCCCTTAAAATAAAAGGATTATTGGGAGTCAAGTGTTAGATTACCTGGTGCTTGTTAATTGAACTTCAGAGGCTTTGGCGAGCAACTGGCTGTAGCAGGGAGCTGCACTTTGGCATTAATGGTGTTATATAAATGAATCTAATGTAACCTAGCGTCATGCTTCTGCATCATGTCACATCTCTGGGCTCAGGACAGTGGTGAGTCCAGCTCACAAGCACAGCGGATATGGGGAAAGGCAGGGAGGATGTATGTGGGGAGGAAGCAGGACTGGGAATCAAGGCCTTTGGGGTCTGAGGGAAGAGTGGGTTTTGGTGCTCAGAGCAGGTGACTGGTTCTCAGGCAGCCCAAGTCAAGTTCCTGTCTCCCTTTGGTGGTCTGACCTTGACATCTGATTTTGAGAAGAGTTGAGTTTAATGGAAGCAGTAAATGACAAGACCATCTGAAAATCCCTCTCTCTTCTTCATTGAGGGCTTATTTCACCTAGGCTTGTGAAAAGTTTGAAGATCCTACTCTGACAAATCACAAAAAAAGAGAGCCAAGTACTCTAATCATTGCTGCCATCAGTGCTCACCCACGGAAACCTGAACGGACCACAGCTGTGAAGGCTTCAGGGCAGCAAGACCCGGTGGAAATGAGAAACCTCATCAGCGATGAAAATTTCATCAGCTGGCGCTGTGGAAGCAAGAATCTGGAAGTGCAGAGCAGATGGGCAGCCTGGATTCTTGGAGCCATTGTCCTTCTGCTTGTTATCTGACTCCAGCACAGGGAGGATTTGGAGAATTTATGGGGGCACAAGCAGCGAAGGGTTTCTCGAAATATCCCTGGCTGACGCGTGGTGTGGTGCAGACAGCACTCGCTGGGCACTCAGCAGACGTTTTTGCACAATATTCCCAAGGTCGTGGAAGTGGGGTCCTGCTGAGCACCTGTCTTTTATTGTGTAAGAGAGGGGACCATTTGGGCAGAGTTTGCAGGACTGTGAGCCTGGTAATACCTGAATGTAAATCCGAGGGCTTTGTAAATGTAGTAGTACATTGAAGAATGTCATGTAAGTTCTATCAGGACTTTTCTGAACTGGGCAAATTTCCTCAGAACTAGGCTCCATTGTTTACTGTGTGAATCATCAATTCATGAGATGTTTGTGAAAGAAAGGATAACAGGAAATGGAAGCAGTGGGTGAGTAAGTCTATGCGCTGGGCATGAAAGGCAATGGAAAAAGTACCTGTCTGCACTCAGGGTTGAATAAAGGGGATGATTTGGTTAGAAATTAAAATGTACTGACTTTTCAAAGAACCAAGACTAGGACAACGTAGTGGAAGATTTTGCAAATGAATACCAAAGCACACTCACAAATTGTGTCAGGGTTTGACTAGCTCTTGCCTGGCACACGCTGTCCTCAGCACCTCTCCTTTAAGAAGCAGACAGTTGTCCTTGGGGGGTTTCAGGTGGGTTTCTCCATTTACTGCTCTACCTTTTTCCCTCCCTCTCCACCTGGTCCCACGGTTGGGTTTCTGTTTCCCTAGCGACAGGCTGGGTTACGCCCCAGGCTGTCGGGTCCTATCTCAGAACACGGGACACGTAGGGAGGGGCAGGAGCGGGTCCCGGCCCCTGGAACTGACACTGGTAGCACCTTCAGGGTGTTCCCGGGTCCCGGGGCAGGAGCGGGTCCCGGCCCCTGGCACTGGCACTGGCGGCTCCCTCAGGGTGTTCCCAGGTCCCATCCCTGGCACTGGCACTGGCAGTTCCCTCAGGGTGTTCCCGGGTCCCGGGGCAGGAGCGGATCCCGTCCCCGGCACTGGCACTGGCAGTTCCCTCAGGGGGTTCCCGGGTCCCATCCCTGGCTCTGCCATTGGCAGTTCCCTCAGGGTGTTCCCGGGTCTCATCCTTGGCACTGGCACTGGCAGCTCCCTCAGGGTGTTCCCGGCTCCCATCCCTGGCTCTGGCATTGGCAGTTCCCTCAGGGTGTTCCCGGCTCCCATCCCTGGCTCTGGCATTGGCAGTTCCCTCAGGGTGTTCCCGGCTCCCATCCCTGGCTCTGGCATTGGCAGTTCCCTCAGGGTGTTCCCGGCTCCCATCCCTGGCTCTGGCATTGGCAGTTCCCTCAGGGTGTTCCCGGGGCCCATCCCTGGCACTGGCAGTTCCCTCAGGGTGTTCCCGGGTCCCATCCCTGGCTCTGCCATTGGCAGTTCCCCTCCCGCCCCTCGCGCTGCCCGCCCCGCCCCGCCCCCCGCGCGTGCCGTCCGATGACGCAGCCGCGCCGCGACGTGGGGATTCCGCCGGATTACCCGGCGTGCCCCGCGGCAAAATGGCGGCCTGAGGCGAGAGCGCGGGGCCGGGGCCGGGCGGGGGCAAAGTTTGGGGCGGGCCCGAGGCGGGGCCGAACCGGCGCCGAACCGGCCGCAAAGTCACTGGGAGCCCTGGTAGAGCCGAGCCCGACCGGGTCAGAGCCGGGCTGGGGCTCCGGGGGCTGGGAGCGGGGAGCGCGACCGGCTGGGGACGAAGCCCCGGGCGGGGCCCCCTGCGCTCCTGGGCCTCCGCGGGCTTCGGACGGTGCCCAGCGAGCGGGGTGGGCCTTTCTGCCACGTGTGTGCGAGGAATTGCAGAGTTCCCCGAGGACAGCGGGTTCGGGCGGGTCGCACCGTGGCCGGGGGGGTCAGCAAGGTGGGGCGGGGCCGGGTGCGGGGGGACGGCGAGGGCACAGCCCCGGCCCCAGGGAAGGGACGGGCTCCGTGGGCAAGGGTGGTGGTGCCACTGCCTCGGCCATCAGGGCGTTACGGAGCTCTTCCTGCCGCGGAGAGACCCGTGTCAGGGAGCAGCAGGCACGGGATGGGCAGGCAGAACCTGGTCCAGGCAGGGTGCAGCTGTTTGGGAATGATGGAGAGTTAGGTGGTGTGGGGGATGAGAAAGCTGTGTCTCTGCAGGGAGCCTTGCTGGAGTAGGAGCTGCAAAGCAGAACAAGTCTGGGCCAGCAGCTGTGTTGAAGAGCTGGAGAGTAACCCTGATTCTGGCAGAGGCAGGGTTGGAAGGGAAGAATCAGCATTCCTCTGGTGTCAGACTCGGCGGGGGTTAATGGGAAATTCTCTGCCAGGATGTCTCAGGACATCCTCTCTAGTGCAAGGGATGCTTCCCCCTGTAGAACCACTGTGAAGCCTCTGGGAGCATGGGGAGGCTTTAAAGGAAAAGAGGTGAACAGTAAATGCTGTACTGCTTGTGGCTCTGAGCTTGAGCACTCTGCCTAGAGCAGAGCAAAGGGCTGAGTGCTAACGCACAGATTTTTGGGTGTGCATGAGGTTCCATTGGTAGGATGTGCAAATGATGCACAGATCTGGCAGGGCTGAGAATGACCTGGATCTGAGAGATGCCAGGTGGATCTTGTCCACTGAAAAGAATCATCCATCACAGGTAGATGGTTCTGTGCCAGTGAAAGCTTTTCAGAGCTGTGCACTTCTGTTTTACAGATCCAGAGAAGGAACCGGCATAAAGGGCCCATATAAAACAAAGCCATGAATCCTTACTAAATCTTCAGACAGCAGGTAAGAAATCCAGGAATGAGCTGATGCTGAGTCAGACTGTCCTCCTTTTGTACCACTGCTTGAATTTTTTGAGAGCATGTGAACCACGTAGCTGAAACAGTGGCTCTCTTTGTGGTGTTCTCTGCATCACAGTAGGCTTGTGTTGCTGGGATTGAGAGGCCAGGGGTGTCAGTGAAATGGGAGTGACCCTGAGAAATTCAGCAGGAGCTTCTGGAAAGAAAAGTTCAATTAAAGACGTAAGCCAGTGCTCTTGACATGCCATCTGGGAGAGCAGTCTGAAATGTGCTCTGTCAGTGCAAAAGTAGCCGTGCTACCTGTGTAATTCACAAGGGATCTGCCCAGCCATAATCCAAATGAAATCCTTTCTGGTGATCCTGCTCTTGCAGTAATGGCAATGTCCAAGTTAGGTGGTTCTAGTGCCCCCGTGTTCTGTCAGGTTATTTGTTCCACCACATTGTTTTTCCACACAAATTTTAACTGTTCTGCTGATGGGTGGTGCAGCTGTACCCGAACTCACTGCTGAGATCCAGTTTAGAGGAGCTGTTGTTTGCTACCCAGCAGCTGGTTTTTGATTGTACACGGTCAGACCACCTTGATAACAACTGTCCTAGTGGATCACTGCAGAAAGCACCCATATCCCAGCAGTGCTTTGCATACATGTGGTTTAGCTTCTGGGTGTTAAACCAGCATTTAAGTTACCAGGTCTTAGCTGTGGTACTGAGACAAATTTTTCATTCCTTCCCAGGCACTCAGTGCTCTTGAAATCTCATGAATGCATTTCAGCAGGGCCAGTGGAGTTCCAAAGGACAGCCCGTGGTTATCTTCATCTTTAATATTAACAAGGCATTGGGTCAGGAGGGGATGAGTTACTTGCTAAGACCTGTTGCCTCTTCACTCTCCAAACCAGCTTTCTGAACTAAAGATGACCTTGCGTGCTTTCCCACTCTGTTTCAAGTTGTTTGTTGGCTGCTGCTAAGTCACTTGCTTTGCAGCCAGCAAACCCTCAGCTCTTATCTCTGCCATCCACTCTAAATACAGTCAGGGTATAGCTTGTCAGGGAGATAGGCTGAAGCTTTGAAAAAGGTGCAGTCTTTTGCAAGTCTGCCTGCTTCTTGTCCCAGAGCAGACAAATCAAGTCAGATGGGACAAATGATTTTTGTTTGGCATGCTGGTCTGAATGGTATCAGAGCTGGCTGGGAAAAAGGGCTTGTGGCACCTGGTGTGGCATATAAGGGGTTTTTAAAAAGGTGAAGAGAGCCAAGCTATTTGAAAGTTAGCAAAGAAAGCAAGTTTTAGTAAAATGTAACTGTATTTTTTGGTAGTTGATTTCATGCTTGTGAGTCTTAGAGGTTAATGGTTTTTCTGAAGGTGAGCTCCCTAACCTGTTAAAATGTCTGCCACGTTTCACAGAGAATCCCCTGAAAACTGGATTCTGAGATTTCCATGTGTCACCACATCTACAGTGTAGACCCAAGAAGCAGTTCTGGAGGTTAGGTCCTGACTAATTTTCTGAGTTATGTATTTGTGGGCCTCGCTTCTCCAGCACAGAGTGACAGCAGAGCTCTCTGCCTTATGTCTTGCTGGGAGAAATGCAACATGTAGAGGTCTCAAATGAGCCTGCATGTGATACAGATTGAGGGTAGGACTCCTCTGCTAATAAATGAGGATCTGGCTTGACACCTTTTTGTTTAATCTTCCTCTTTTTACTGGGCTTGTCAGGATCTGGAATTCTCATAATAGAGCAGATTTTCTTGACCATTTGACTTGATTAATGCTTTGAGAGTAAATTTAAGGTCCTGAAACTGGGTATATTCATCTCCTTGCTTGAGGGCTTTTCTTTGGGAAGGTGTCTCCTTTCTGTATGACACCCTGAGCTTTGCTGGCGTTCATGCCAGCTGTGTGCATTTCAGATCACCAGTAACTGGGTAAATAGCATCCTCTCTGAGATTCTTTTACACAGGACTGCAGAGGAACTATGCAAACAGGACAAATGCCTCAGGGCATGAAATCATCCATCCTGTTTCCCTGCCAGTTCCCTTACCTGAGGGCTTTTCCTCAGATCTAGATTGGCTGAGTCTGTAACTGTAGTAGTAAGAATGTTACTTTTTAAAGTTGAAATACCTTTACAGCTCCTTGGAGGAGAAGGGCGGTGCTGTGGTGAGAAAGATACTTAATTTCTACCACAGATTTATTGTGTTCAGATCATTACTGTTCCTTACTCTTCATTCTTTGCTCAGAAAAGATTAACACTAGTCTTACTAGGGATTTGAGGACGAACCCATAAGTGTGTAGATGCTTAGATACTGTGGTGTTGAATGCTTTAGTAAAGCTTGGTGGCAGAGAAATGAAAGGAGTGTTCAAGCTCTCACTTCAAAATGAAGCAGACCGCTGTGTGATCCTTTGTCCTGTGTATTCTGTAGCATGGTGAAGTTGCTGTGAGTGCAAGTCAGGCTCTGCCTTGTTCAAGGCAAGTGGGCACGCTGAGACCTCACCATTTTTGCCTTCCCAGGAACTATTTCCTTGTTTTAGTCACGTCTAACCTTGCCTGAATATTTTTTACTTCAATGACAATTTTCTCTTTTTTGCTTTGTTATTTGTTCCATTCTCAGAAACCATTCTCTTCATTGTCAGGATGTTCACGTATGGTTTTATTCCAAATATACTCAGCCAGAGAGAGCCAAAAGCAGTAGCTTGCAGGATGTTTCGTAGTTGGAATGACATGAGCCAGCCTCTCCGGAGTGTCCTCCTGGGACAAGCTGCTCTTAGGAAGGAAATGGCATGGAAAACCATGTAGGAGTGTGAGAATAGCTTTGCAATGGTTGGAATGCAGTATATAAGCATCACTTGGGTGGGCTCAGTTTTCCTCTGCTTTTCAACAATGCTGGGTGCCAAGCCTGAGGAAGACTGCTGTGCAGGGGTGAAGGAGCTGGAATGTATTCTTCAGTTGAGGTGAATGCAATTCAGTAAAACTGATAGGCATCAAACTGAATAATGATTTTAAAGTATTTTCACATGATGTCTAATCTGTGGAAATTCACTACCACATAATAGCACTGAGGCTAAGAGCTGAGCGGGATTCAGAAAAGATCAAGCACTTAGGAGTGGAAATGTTCAGACTTGCTTTAGTTAAAGAACTTGTTTTAGAAGGTGTATTTTTCAGACCTAATCCAATCTCTTAACAGTTAAAAGTTTCAAGAAATGGCAGTGTGTTCCATAATTGTCCACTGAGGCTTCTTGCTGCAGCTACTAAACCACCTTAATGTATTGGTGTGTGTCAGGGGCAAGGTATTGAATCACTTATGTGCTATGTTAGTTTGCTTGCTGACCTTGCTTTTTGTGGTAACTGCATTAGGGAAAAAAAACCAACAAAACAACAAATCACCAACCAAAGAACAAATCCACAAAGCACTGCAGCTGCTCTGATTACTCCTGGTAGTTGAGGATTTTAAGCTGGTGACGAGCAGGGTCTGTGGAAAGATAGTGCGGTTCCTAGAGGAGGACTGCCTTACTGATAAACAGTGGAGATAGGCAGCTCTTGTCTTTTCATGCTGAGTGGTCAGGCAGAGCACTTGCTGCTTCTTCCCTTTGTTTGTAAGAGGGGAAAGAATGTGTGGAGTTTGGCCTCTCCACGTTGCAGTCTTGTTGTGGACTTTGGTCAGTAAGGTGTCTGAAAGGCAGGGCTTTAAGGCTGAGTTCTGGTATGTTGTAGCATGAGCCTCAATGTACTAATGTCTGTGAAGACCGTTTGTGTCCTGTGCTCATGTCCAGTCTGTTGAGGATCAGGAGAATCATCAGTGCTGCAAGTAGGTATAAATTCAATTTGATGCACAGGCTAATAAAGATAAATGGCAGTGGCATGAAGATATATATAAAAAGCTGTGTGTTTGTAAGGTTCGCCTAAATGCAAGGGGAACTGAAGGAAAGAGTCTGTATTTTCAGAGACAGAAGCACAAGATCCCTGTATGGGCCCTATGGGCTTCTTTGGGAACAACATGTGCTTTAGGGCACATGTCCTTAACTCTTTTGTGGCAGGGCTAACAGCTGAGAATAAACAGTTACTGACTTTCACAGAAGTTTTGCTGTTAAAGTGAAATGATCAGGATTGCAAAGTAAGTTTTCCTGCAAGACTTAGACTGATTTTTAGGCAGACAGTATCTGACCAGCTTCTGGTGGCAAGAGACAACTGGTTTAAATTTTTGATTTCTTAAGGGTTAGTAAATTCAGACCTGGAAGTCTCACAGTGACTTCTATGTCTTTGGTTGAGTTCTGCATTTATATTTTAGCTCTGTGATAAAGCTGGCTTTGGGAGTGTTGTAGGAGTCATAACTGGATCTTCTCACTCTTGTGTTAAAGGCTGAGTTGTCCAGCTGTGTTAATGTAACACTCATGCACAAATGGTTCTGAAATCAAAAGGGACAGATAAGGTAGTCTCTCTAACTATTGAGGAATTACACATAGGCTCCTAAAAAGCCTTAGGCGAGTTTTACTTTATAGCATTTGTTTCAAAAGAATATAAGTTATTTTCCCAAGGTAATAATTAGATAATTGTTGTGGCTGTAAGGTTTTTGACCATGATTTTGGCATATGCTACTCAGAGTAACTGGTTTTGGACCTGCATGTGTCTTACTTCACAAGCTCTCTGCAATTTTCAGAGATGCCTTGCTGCTCTGTCTCCTGCATCAGATTTCTTCCTGCAGCTTTAGTGTTCATTAGTGATGACTCTGCTGCTGCCCAGCAGGAAGATTAAAAATATTCTAGGGAGATGAGTTGAAATCTGGTCTCTCACAATTGAATAGTGATTGCAGTTAAAGCTACTATTCTGGGTTTTTTTCCCTTGAGTATTTTATTTATAATTTTTTTCATTATGGAAAACTCTTTTCCCTTCTCTTTTATCTTTGGGAGATTTGTGCCCAGTGTATTGTATGAAAAGTATTTTCAAATGGGGGACAAAAATGAGAAATGACAGGACATTTGTGCTTAAAATTAAGTTGTTTTAAGTA